GGCAGCTTATGACAATATTTGGCCAATATACTTGTAAAGTAATAGAAGAGCGTTTCGAAGCCGATTAGATAATTTTGTTTTTATAGGTGACACCGTAGTATGCACTTCGAATGGTTTTCATTTCCAGACGACTGGGCTCTTAAGTGGGCTCTTTGTCAGCTTATTAAGTGTTTTTAAAGCTACAACAAATTTAGAAACGTAAACGCACAAACAAGTCCATGGCACACAATTTAAATTCATCTTACAACTTCATTTGGTGAGCATTCATTTCCAGGAATCTAACTTTTTGTGCAAATGTTTGCGTTACACTCAGCGCGAATCTAAAAAGTTAATTTTGTTCAGCGGATGTGAGGCCTGAATTAAGATTAAATGGAATAAATAATCACTTGACGAGATCAAATGCAACACAAGTAGGAAATACTTTCCAATGAAGAGTTAGCAGAAGAAGGTCCTTTTGCTGCAGACATAGAAAATAATAATAATAATAATTTAATACTTATGGGTATTTCTGTCATGCTCTAAATATATTTAAACAAGCGTTTTGCAAAATAATTCTATTCGCATTTGGATTATGAGATAATCTTCAACATACTTGTATTTATTTCGTAATTGCTATGATAATAATAAATAAATAAATGAGAGCTTTCTTTTGGGATACATTATTGAATTTGTTTGCTTGTTTGTTTTTGTTTTAAAGTTAATTATTGCCTTAGCAGCTTCTATTTTATCAATAGAATTTCAAGCTACCATAGTCATGTAAGTCTTTATTGCTATATAATACAAACTGAATTGAAATGAACCAAAATTAAAATAATTTGCATGTTGCCTAACGATTAGAAGAGTCCACATACCAGGTTTCATTAATGTGGGCTTAGCTCTTTCCGAAATACAGGCGTTCATCCAGACAGACATTTCCCTCATTATGCTGCTTAAGAATAAGAAGATGCTTCCCTCTGCATAAACCTTTTATTGTTCTAATACTTGTATACCGGTTTTTTCTGCCCTTCGAGTACAACACATAAACATGACAGCAATTCAATGTCTGGTTAATATGTATATTGAATTGAAAACCAAGCACAAATCTGACGTGTCATTATTATTTATTGGCTCTTCTATCTCATACAAGTATATATAGTATATGTATAGTCAGATATTAAAAAAAAATTGTCACCAATATGAATGAGAAAATATAGGCAATTTTTTTTTCTGTTTTTTGCACTTCATAATTTAATGAACCACCGAGCTGTTTGCAAATAATTGTTATGAGCCATAAAAATTCAATCAAATATTAATTTCATTAACATTTCTGGGTCGAATGAAAATAAAATCGTGTTAGTGCAAAAAAAAGAAACACATTACAGGATTAAATAATTCAAGTGCTTAATACTAAGTATATGGAATTTGTGGCGAATGATTTTAAGAAAGTCACACGCAAAAATAAAACGCCAACATAATAGAAGTAAAGTCTTTAATAATGTTCAAGCATTGTCTGAATGAACTAATAGATGATGAATCGAATTTCCGATAAAATCATAACACATACCCGTACTTGTTGCCTATCAATACACTGTGGCTATGGCTATGGCTATGGCTAAGGCTCTCCAAAAATGGCCTTCTTGTATGTACATACTACTATACTTTATAGGCATTTGTTGGTTGTGTTTAATGACTTGCCTAATTGGTTACACAAGCGCTTATGCTGATGTGCCATTTAATGTACGTTAGTCATGCTAATACATATACTATATACTTGTACACAGATACATACATCTGCTTATGTATGTGTTACAATGGCGTGCTACATGGGCTTTATTTAACTGCCTAGCGTTGACATTTGCGCAGGTAACCATACGAGTGAGTATTGAAAATGTGGGGCTCCATGTTGGGGTCTCATAGCACTTGCATTTATTTTTCTTTTTTTTTCTATTTTTATTTTTATTTTATTTTTTTTTCTGTCGTGCCATTGCTGTGCGGCGTTTTGCACGTCCCTGACCACAAATCATTTAAAGTCATCAACAAAACATAAAAATGAAATAACACCAAACAAGCAACTGCAAAATTTTATTTATTTATATGTTGGTGTATTTGAATTTTTTGTTTTGTTTCGTTTCTTGTTGTTGTTGTTGTTGGTGGTGGTGGTGTGCACAGAAACGCGACGCGTTAAAGCATCCGTTGGATGGCCAAAGTGCGAAAGTGTTTATGTCATGATTTAACGAGAGCTGGGACCGTGGAGCCATTGGGGGCCAGGGGAGTGGAGACGATTGCAGTGCACAGCAGGCGAATTATGAAAAAATCATTGGAATTTGTTGAGTTGTGTAAATAAATAAAAAGCTCGTTGCATATTGAACGTACAGCGAAGCAACGCGTGAATAGATAGATATGTAGATATGGGCCAGGGGCAAGCGGCAAGCGGCCCCCTGGATGCTGTTAAGGGGGTCTGGGTGCTGTGCACAAATATGGTTAAACAACACCAACTATGTACTAACTACAACGACAACATAACGACGATGACAGCAACTAAAATGCATGCAAAATGGCGCACGTGTTCGCCATTAGAGATGCGAGCTGCGAAGCAAACCTGAAGAATCCTTCACAGTTTGTTGGCTTAACAGGAATGAGATGTACTTTTTGTACTTTCTTCCTTTCCATTCTTTTTTAAATTGCTGTCAAAATGTATGCACAGGTTAGGTTTTGTTAGACTGATTGCCCCGCTGTGGTAATGGGAAAACGGTAAGGGTATAGAAGAGCAAGATATGCAAATGCAAACGGATTTATACAAGAGTGTTGGCAAAAGACAATTCAAGCAAATTGCAGAATATGCATAAGTACTATATATCCTAGCCTCGACCTAAATATTAAATCTAAAGCAGTTGCAATTGAACATTCTATATGTCTATCCTGCAGGTTATAATCGCACACAAAGGACTTTTTTGAAACTTATGTATGAAACTCTAGGTTCTCATCAGTTTGTCTTAAGCTGTACAATAAACTCATGCCCGGTAAAAAGTAATGCGAGTATATGGGTTGGAATAAACCTGCTTTGCATATGGATAGAAAAAGTGTTCGTGCCAAGTTTAGTTTAAAAGTTCTTGCTGTTCATACGGACAGACAGACAGACAGACAGGCGCACATGTCTTGATCGATGCAGCACTTTTTCTGATTATACTATATACATAGGTATCTGCTCATACCACAGTGTCCTTGTTTAGACTTTCCAGCCCACCCTTTTTCCCTTTATGGGGTACAAAAAATAGAAATAAACTCAAATCGAGTAGTGAATACATTAAAGAACCCAGTACGATTTTATTTATTTATATATTATTTATTTCATTTAGTATACTCTATTACTCTATTTGTTCTATACTGAAGCTATCAAAATTTTGGGTTCTTTAAAAGGTACTGCCTGCTTTTAAAGCTCAACTGTAAAACACAAATTTATGAAACATATAAAATAGTTTTGCCGATTTACGCGGCTTCTTGTTGAAATTTCAAGAATTTCATTTTTAAATTAAATCTGTTTGAAGCAAGCATCCTTCAGTGAAAATATCCTTGAAACCATGTCCGTATTCCGGCACATCAGTAATTCATGCGATTGATGTAATTTTGAGTATGAAATGCACTTTAAAGCATTTCTGCTGAGTCAGATATTTAAAATATTTGAGCATTTTTTTTTTTTTAACTATATAGCTGGTGGTGGTGGTGGTGGTGGTGGGGAAGCAAACAAAATTGTTTATTTAATTGTGCATTGTGGCCATTGTGCAACCGCAACAAAATTTGCATGCAACATTACAGCATTGATGCCCTAATTGAATTTACTGTACAGGATGCACTCAGCTGTGGCAGAGTGCCGGCACACACACACACACACATACACATTACGAGCAAGTTGCACAAAACTTTAGAGCAGCAGTCAGAAATATTTTGCGCACAATTAGATGGTCAGGCATTGGTCACTAATTTCCCAAAAAAATCAACTGCTTGTGCATCCCCAAAAGGAGCTTGCAACAAATTGAGCTCACTTGCAACTATGGAACGGTATCATCACCATTGTTGTCATGTGATAATGCTTTTAGCAAAACCATTGCCATCGCCATCGCCATCACCATGGCCATCAGCATTTGCCAAATCTCATTGTGCTGACTGATTCATCATCACATAGACGCCAAATTGAGGCTGCCAAAAATGTTCTAATAAAAACATGGGAACATTTTACAGACCACATCCCCCCCTCCAATCCCCCACCTCCTGGTAGGCGATTAGAAGCAGACGGCCGTGTTCAATGGTCGGCCACGCGTCACAGTTAATGGAGAAAACAAAATGTTGCGTTTAGAGTTTCACACGCCGGCGGCTGCTGATGATGCTTTGCTTTGCTTTTGGCTGTTTGGGCAGCAACGCTGCTGGCTGGCTGGCACATTCCACAACTGTGGACAGACGTGCGCCCGCCCCCACCCAACCAAGCATCAAGGTCTGCTGCCCACCCCCCTAATGATGAGCGCATGACGCAGCAGCTTGTCCGGCCGGACGAACGGACGGCTGTGAATGACGTTGCAGTCAGCATGGAATTTTTGCATATACGATGAGTCCATCCATAGTAAACACATTCACACACACACACGCACACACACATTCGCACACACATTTATATGCATTCAGACTCGTATATATTGCAATTTTTGTTGGTGGACCGAGCCGTTTGGGCGACCAACCGTCTGGCCGCACAGCGGGACTGCCTTTAGCCTCTGTTCTAAATGACGTCCAGTCATTCATTTTGGTTTATAGGTAAGCTCCGACGTCGACGTCGACAGCGACAGCGACGTTAACTGTGCAGTCGGCGTTGCATTGTCGAGCTTTGGAAAATTGCTTGAAAGCAATTTAGTTGGCCGCCTACTGAAAAGATCTCACTCCAAGTGGCAGGAGGAGGAGAGGCACTATGTAGGGATGTGGGGGAAAGAATCAGGGGGCATTGAAAGGCATTTCCTTTTGTGACGCGTTTCACTTACCATTTAAGTTGTGGGCATTGATTGCAATGTTAACTGCAAAGAGAGAGAGAGAGAGAGAGAGAAAAAGGGTGTCAGAGGAATATAAGAATTGTCAAGGAGTTGCAACTTCAAAATTGTTGAATATAAGTTCTGTAGGATTAAACTTAAAAACTAAACTTAAATAGCAAGTATTTGATCAAGCAAGCTGACATGAGCTGCTCAGAGTGAAGAAGCCAGAGAGAATTCAGATGGGTTCTTTGCTATTTCTTTAACTCCATTTCTTATTATTATTATTATTTTTTTTTTGAATCGGGGCATAGTTGGCCGTTTGGCAAATAAAATACGCTCACCGAATCAGATTCGTTATTAGAAGTTAATGTATTTATTTTCTTTTTTTCATTCACAGCTTTGTTTGTCGATGAAATAATAAATTTAAGAGATGTCAGTTATAGCGCCCATGAAGACACACTTGTATATTAATTATTTTATTTGTAATCCTTTATTTAAGATCTGTCTTAAGTTAGACAATTATTACATTTTGCATTTGAATCATCTGTCATGATGGTTGGTTATAAAACAGTCAGATATTGAAACCAGTCTTTGAGATACCTGAGAAGTTATAGAGATCATATTCCAAAGAAGAGACTTCATTTGTTTGCATCTTTAAGATACCAGCACAGGCACAAACCAAAGCATTTAACTTTGCTCTAAAATCTGCATTTGCTTTTGCGATCATTATTTAAAACCCATAAACAATTAAGCCTTTCTGAGTGACACTAATAATAGCACAGCATTTGAAAGTAAGCAACAACAATATTGGGGTTTAGGTTGTCATTTTTATAGCTTTCTCGTGAATGAATGAGTTCTTCAGGTGACGAATTCCATCTGCTAATTGGGGGATAATTTGTAGCGGACGTTTGACTAATGAATTCATCGAACTAAATGAAAATAGAACAGGTTCTTGTACCGTCGTGCCGGTGACATTGATGTAGGTTATACTTTGTTTCGAGCCAAATTTTGGATTTGGATGGCCCTCCTGCTCACGAAATTCGCTAATTAAATTCACATTGCTTCGAACTAAATGTGTGTCAATTAAGAGGTATTTGCCAACGTCCCCATTTCACTGCAACACTTTTTCTTTTGCACTCAATCTATTGTTGGGTGGTGGTGCGGTGGTGCAGTGGTGCAGTGGTGGGATGTGATTGTGCACAATGATTGATTAATGCGAGCTGATAGAGTGATGATGCCCCCCACCCACAATTGCAATCCTTGGCAGCCATTAAATTTAAACTACTACTATGTATGTCACAATAAAGCTGCAGCTCAGCTGAATGCCTCAATTCTGCAAACACATCACGTGTCGGCTTTACAGATGTTCCCATTGCTGCTAGGTGCCGCCGCCCCAGCCTCCTCCCACTGGCCAAAGAGCGCCAAACCACGTGGGTGCGGATACGGGTGCGGGTACGGGTGCGGGTACGGGTGTGGATGCAGGTGTGACACGCAAAATGCCAACAGCCTGTCATTTCTTTATACTAAACTAACAAACGTGGCCCCAGTGCGTGGCTTGAACCGAGCGTATTTCTTCTTCTTCTTTTTTAAATATAGATACATACATATATATTTTTTGTTTTTTTATGTGCGTGTGCGTATGTGTGTGTGTGTGTGTTTTTGTGTTCTTGTGTAAAACCAACTCATTATTTTACATTTTTGGTTCATGACCCAGAAATCTGATGATGACGACGCGACGGTGCCAGCGACGCGACGCTGATGTAGAACTGAACTGAACCGAGCTGACAGACTCAGTCTCGCACATTTCTTTTGCCCGCCCCAACACCCCTCCGCTCGAGCGTTCCGTCCTAGCGTCCGTGTCGAAACGTGGAACGTACGTGCGGTCATCTGTCATGATTCTTCACTTATCGTCTGTCGCTCACTTGCGTTCGCTTGGCCTACAAAGCGTGCGGACATACTCGTACATACTACAGTAAGTATTGCCAAAAAGGAACAGTTGCGAATATCTGAAGAATTGCCCTACAAAAATATTGGAAGCTTGCTGTCTGCGCAAATGAGTTAAGCGATCATATTTTCCGCGAATATTTCTCTAATAAAATACTTAGTAGTATACTTAATTTTTTTTCACTCAACCCTGGTAGCTGTCAAAGTGACTAGTCGACTTTTTATTGTGCGCTCCGTGAAAAATTGTAATAAATTCCTCTTTTTCAATTATTTCGCGTATAGTGCGTTAAAAAAAAAACCACCCGGAAACCTAGTTTCACCTTGGCTTTTTGGCAATCGTTTAGTATCCTTATTTTCTTGGATTCCAATCAACAATTAATCTGCTGTATGGGGCTGCTCTGCTGACGTATACACGTCATCGGAGCAGAGACAGCCCAGAATTTTTCTTCTTTGCTTGTTTTGCAAGTCATCTTATCTCACGTAAATGAATGCTGATGAAGACTCGGCCGCTCTCGGAGCAGCTGAGGAAGTAGTCAATAAGCTGCCGAAGTACGTGGAGATGAGAAAAATTTCTGGTAAATCACCTTCGGAGCTGAGAGCAAAAATAACCAAGGACTTGCATATGTCAATGGGAAAACCATACTTAAAGCCGTCAATCTCAACCAGTAACTGGATTGCCTCAACCACTTGTACATCGACTACAAGTACCCTAACATTTTCTGTGGTGAACTCTCAATCAATGTATACTACAGTAGCGACATCAAATGGCAGTTTGTGCTCCACACCCGCCGTTGTGAGTACACCGGCTTCAATCACAAACTTAGTTGCAAATCCAACTCTGGACAAATTTTGCTCGTTTCAAATGTCAGTACCCGGTATTAATAAGAAGCGGAAAGGAGCCGTCGAGTCACTAAAATCGGCTCAAAAAAATAAGCCAACTCCTGTCAATACAACCCAGGGACAACGAACTGCGTCCTCCTCTCCGCCAGCACTTCAAAATAATAGATTTGCAGCCCTTTCGGAAGAAGCTGATTCCATTATGGAAATGGAAGAGCCAGATTCCGAAGATCCATCGAGCCAGCAAAATGAAGCCAGCCGTTTCCAGCAGGGAAGTAGTATTCCTAAGCCTCCTGCTATATGTGTGCCACAAGTCAACAAATTGGATAAGCTGGAGGTGGCGCTCAATTCTGCTGTCTCCCCTAACGATTACGACATACGCACATCGAAATCTGGGATCTCGCGTATTTATACGAAGAATTCGAATGCGTTTCGTGCAATAATCAAATTATTGTCCAATCAAAATTGTCAATTCTGGCACCACCAGTTGAAGGAGAACAAACCCTGCAGATTGGTGCTCAGAGATATTCATCCCAATGTACCCAGGCAATTAATAGAGCGCACCTTTACCGACAAGGGCTTTACAGTTTTGAATATATATTGCCCCAGAAAACCGGACTGGCGTAACATTCAAATTAATGAGGAGGATGGTGAGGACATAAATAATGTTAAAACAAGACAAAATATGTTTTACGTTAACCTCCAGAACGCACCCAACGTTGCTGAGGCACTAAAAATAACTCAAATTGGTAGACACAGGGTTACAATATCAAAGGCCAAACAGAGTAAAGAGCTGGTACAATGCTTCAGATGCCAAGATTTCGGGCACACGAGGAACTATTGCCTTAAAAAGCCGGTTTGCGGTAAATGCTCGGGGGACCATGATACTGGCTCAAAATCATGTAACCTGAATGATAATGGGGAATTTATATGCGCTAATTGCGGCGAAGACCACATGTCGAGCTTCAGAGGCTGCAAGGTAAGAATTGATCTAGCCAAAAAACTTAAGCCAGCTGTGAGGTTGCCGAAAGATGGACTAGTTATCGGTAGCAATAGGAGTTACCCAAATAACCAAGGCACTAAAGTACAGTTTATCTCAAACTCTACTGTTAAGAGTGGCTTCTCTTATGCTGATGCAGCTAGGCCAATTGGAGAAAAACGTACCAGCGCGCCAACAAACCAAAACTCGCCCCGATCACACAGTTCCGCCGAAGATTGGCATCTAAACAACAAATTTAGTATGCTGGAAAAGGCGATTTTAGATCTAAACGCAAGAATGGATCAAATGTATAAGCTCATACAGGAAAATATGGATTCCAATAGAGCCTTCCGTGAATTGGTACAAAAACTAATATCCAAATGTTAAATCCGCTGTTAAAAATCGGATTATGGAACGCACGGGGCCTGGTCAAAAACAATGATGAACTCAGGCTTTTCCTAAGTTCAAACTCGATCGATATCATGTTAATAACCGAAACGCATATGCGTCCTGGCTTGAACGCATATTTGCCAGGATACGACCAGTACTACGCTAATCATCCTAGTGGCACCGCTAAAAGTGGTTCTGCAGTCATCATTAGATCAAGTATCGCTCATTCACAGAATGAGCCAATTCTAAAAACAAGCATCCAAGCGGCCAGCGTAACTATACCGACGAATGGTGGAAGCATCAAAGTCTCCTCCCTATATCTTCCTCCCAATGAAGCTTGGTGCAGGGCCGACTTTGATCTATTGCTTGCAACCTTAGGAGATAAGTTTATTGTAGGCGGTGATTTTAATGCAAAACACCAATGGTGGGGTAATTCCAGATCTTGCAGGCGAGGAAGGTGTTTGCAAGAGGCCATAGCTAGTACTACTTGCCAAGTTCTTGCTACTGGAGAGCCAACTTTCTACTCTTACAACACACGGCTTAACCCCTCTGCACTAGACTTCTTTATTGTCAACAGGATTGCCCTAAACAGACTCACCGTTGAAACAAAATATGAGCTCGCATCGGATCACCTTCCAGTAGTAGCGACGCTACATCATGCACCGCAATATAATCCCAAGAGGGAATATATTCTACCACCTGGCTCCCGTATTGATGTTTTTAAAGCCGATCTCGAAAGAAGAATTAACCTGAACGTCGAAATTAACAGCCCAGAGGATATCGAAGACGCGATATCAATCCTCATGAAGAACATTTCACTGGCTGCGTCTTCTGCTGCACCGAAAACTTTACGCTTGCCAACCCAACATAGTCAAGCTAGTCTACCACCAACGGC